TTTTTAATTAATTTTATTCTAGCAAAGATAACGGATTAAATTCAAATTCATCTTTTTTTAAGTCTTTTTAAAACAAATTAACAAACTACCTAACAGCCAAATAAAAAATCAATTAATAAACAACTTTTTCAAGAATTTTCAAATGATTTCTAGTTGAGAACATGATTATCGTCCATTTTCAATGCAACCTTTTCACTCAAACCCATTGTTTGCTTACTCAAAACTTCATTTAAAGCAACCAAAAAAACTTCATTAAAGAAAAAATTAATATAAATTACACAAGGCATACAAAAGCATAATCCTTTTATAAATTTAATAAAATGCAACTTTTAACAACTAATAAAAACCCTCTTCAAATTATACACATATAAAAACTTGTATTTAAACATCAAAGTTGATTCATGAAACTCATAACTATATCATCTCTTAACAGTTCCATCTTTGGGAGAATATATTCCTCACCCTCTCCAACAACGTTGTCATCATTATCAAGCTCTATATTCTCAAAACTTGAATCATAAACACCACGAGTAAATTGTTGATTGTTTTCTTTGTGCTTTAAAATAAAATTATGCAATGCCATTGTTGCAACAACTATAACCCTTCGTGTTGCCAAATCATAGCCATGCATGTCCGTCAAAATCTTCCATTGTTTCTTCTATATCCCAAAAGCTTGTTCAATCACACTTCTAAGAGAAGAATGTGCATGATTAAAAATTTCACGATAACTAGAAGATCCATGTGCTCGAAATCCAGGAAGATGGTATCTTTCACCTCCATAAGGCCCCAAATAACCTTTCTCAATGCATATCCTAAATCTACCAGACAATATTTTCCTACAGGATCAAATAATTATAATATTTTTTAAACATTTTTTATAATTAAAAAAAGGAGAAAAGGAATGACAACCTAAATACCTTTTGAAGGATGAGGAAAGTTATAATTGGGATCATTAACAGCTCTAGAAAAAATAGATGCATCATGACATGTTCTTTGTATTTTCGCAAGTACAAAAGTAAATTGCATGTCAAACCCACAAGCTGCCATTATATTTTGAGTTGGAATCCCTTTTGTACCAATAAAGTGAACTTATTCTTCAGTTGATACGATAATTGGTATGTGTACTCTATCAATTGCAATCCTAAATAATAA